CTTTAAGAGCTCCAAAAAGTGCTGCAGACTTCACAGTGCTTCAAGGATCATGCTCCTTGGGCTGTGTGTGACGCGAAAACACAATGAGAAGATTGTGCCTGATAATTTTAAGGATCTTAAAGTAAAAGACAGGAGGTGGCAGAAAAGAACAGATGCAGCACAAACAGTGAAATTAAATGCATGGGAATAGCCATAGGAATACCAGATAACCTCTCCTTCTATTAACAGCTGTTTTATGCAGAAGGTGAGAATTTGGCTTTAAAAGTGCAAAATGCAGTATGCAAATCATTTTTTTTTCAGACTCAGCTTACATAGATGGCATTATTCTTTCACAAGTGCAAGGGCAGTACAGCAGCAACATGTGTTTCCTCTAATGACCTTTAAAAGTGTTTTCCCTTTGGGATGATATCCACATCTTCTACTGCTTGCTTTGCAGTGCCAACCACACTAATGCCACTCAGTGAACAACAGTGGGGTTGCAGGCTGTAAACCATTTATAATGACATATGGGCACTGCTTGATGAGAAATGTTAAGAAGGTCATGCATTTACTATCCAAATTCCATATCTGGGTGATCAGGAGGATGGACAGCAGCTAAAATAGCCACTCCTCAGCACCTGTGGTGTATTACTTCTGCTGTTTTGTGAGCTCAGAGGGTTGTATTAACCAGGCTGGAGAGATCAAATTGATAAAGATGGAGGAGAAGAATTTAAATAGTCTCTCTGAAGTCTCTCTGAGAGATACGTTGGTTTTGTTCAAACAAAGCAAATCCTAGGGCCTAATGTATCAAAATGGAGCAATATGAAAAAGACATCATGTAGAAGATAGAAGCTTTCTATAGACTTTTACTTCAGCAACTCCTCTCCTTATATGTAGATGTTATATTAACCCTTTCCCTTGTTGTTGCTGTGTTATTTTTGTGGAGAATAAATTACCCAATGCTTTAGGAAAAATTTGTTGGATCATAAATGACAGGCTCTGAAAGGAAGCCTTTAAGCTGACTCAGGACATTTTCAGTAAGCATATTTCTCAGTCCTCTGCAGTGGAACTTGGAAATTTTATCACTCTCCTCCTCTACACAGAGGTCACCCAAGATATATTCCTTAAAATTTCTATTGGAAAGCTATTCGTGATACACTATAAGCACAAGTTTATATTGCCATTTATATTGTTATAACTTCTTGAGGAATTTATTCCAGCAAAAACTCACCTGTGTGTTGGGTTACATGAGATCACAGTATCGGTGTATTCTTGTACCTACACTAGCTAAACACCTCTGTCATTGGTATGTCTTCATTTTAAATTTTACTTAATTTAATCATTTTAAATTGCAGCCCTTCATTGCTTTAAATTGTAGCCATACTGTGCTGAATATAGCACTGTATGCTGGGCTGCTGTCTTGCCCGAAGCAAGAATTAACCTTGATTTTTTGACTTAAACCATTTAAATCAAAAGGTGTTGGAATTGCAGAATGATGTATTTTCATTTATTCCTCCAACCATCTGCACCACACTTAGCTTTAAAAGAGTCTTTGAAATTATGGTGTAATGCTTTCCTTTCAATGTAACGCTAATGCTCAAGGAAAAAAAAAAAAAAAAAAAAGAGGCTTCAGCTCTGAGTTTTCTTAAACTTGCAGACTTACTCAGTCCTGAATGCTTAAATGTTACTAAAAGTTATGCTGTTTATTTTTTACTTTATCTATTTATTAAAGATAAAGGTAGATTCTGTAGTAAGATCTTGTCACAGGATATTTGTATTTTCAGTGTAGCCTTAGAGCTTTGGTACTCAGACATAATCATTGCAAAACCAAAAGGCAATTGCCAACTTAGAAAATGAAGGAGTGGACATCAAGTTAAAGGCCATTGGCCAGCAGAACATGAGAAAAGAATTAACACATTTTGAGAGGAGAGCTGCTGGCCTCTGGGAGATGATATGCAGTTCAGTGTTTCTGTCACTGCTCCAACTGGCTGACCTACAGATTGGCTCCAGACCTGGGAACAGCTTGCCCAGTTATCAGCACAAATGAATACTTCAGCAACTGAGCTTGTGAAATAGAGAATGAAGAAAGAAATGTGCTAATGAGGTTTTATATAGAATTTTGTGAGTGGAATATAGAAATAATGAAATAACTCTTCAAAAGTGGTGGGACCCAGAAGGAAAACAAAAAACAAAACAAACAAAAAAAAAAAAAAGAAGAAAAAAAAAAAGAACAAAACAAAACAAACAAAACAAAAAAAAGGACATTTTTTGGCTGGGTTTGGAAAGTGCTAAAGTTAAGAATTTAGAATGTAGCAGTTATTAAATAAATAAATAACAAGAGCTACATGAATTTGTGGTCCAAGGTATGAAAAATGGATACACTTTCCAGACTTATATCATCCAAGACACTAGCATAAGTGTTAGTAATTATTAAATATACCTCCTGATTAATTGGTGGCCTGTTTGGATCTGTGTCTTTGGGAAATTTAGAATCTCATTCAAAATCAGAATAAGGTGGCAAAGAACCAAGGAGAAAATTGGAGTGTAGACTCATGAATGAATAATCTGGAAAGACAAAATATGCCAGGAATATATGAAAGGTAGGATATGCCAATTCTGTTGGCATAGAAAGGAATAAGCACCAGTTTCCTCAGTGAGTGGTGGGTGTTGCTGTAGATGTCTCACGAATGTAGGTTGGATACTGCTGCGTCTTCTAGTCTTCATCTTTAAATTCCATTCAGTAGCAACCTGCAGCACAGATTCACTCAGTAAATAGATCCTGTCTTTTGTGTGTCTTCAGGTCTTCACTTCTGTCACCCTAGTTTTGCCTGAAGTTATGACAACGTTTCAAGTACTATAGTCATCTCTGCCATAGCCCACACGGGTGCCCTGTGAATAACTAGGGTTAGAGGACTGAGCATAAATATGTTTTAAGCAGTTTTTTCTCTCTGAGTCTCTGCAATAGCACAGCAGAAGTGGACAGGAGTAAAGAGAAGGAAATATGAAAATTCTGAATTCAGATCCAGAAATAAAGCAATTCTTGCAGGATGTATAAAATATGAATGTGCAAGCAAAACAATAGTACTCAAACACCTGCAGTAAGAAAGGCTCTTTTGCAAATATACTTTTCAATATTTAAATAGCTGTTTCTTTTAGCCTTCAGGGTAACAATACAGCTTGATTGCTGGCCATTTCCTACAATGGAAAGTTAAGGGACATCCACTATAATTTTACTGTAGTAAATAGCATCTGAAAAATAAAATGTAATGCTACAAAAGCAGGCTGTTTTCCTGAACTGCTTTACCCTCTGAAATATTTTGATGGCATGACATGCAATGTTTATTGTTTTAGATGTCTTCCTAGCCGTCAGCCTCTCTCTCTGTCAACACATTACTCTTCAGCTTCATTGTGCTCTTCTTTCTTCTCTGGTGCCGTGGGAACATAAAGCAAATGTTTCTACTGTTCTCAGTTAGAAATTGTTTTTCATTATAATTTCAAGAGGGGCTTTGAAGTATCTACTTAAGCTCTCACAGCTAATAAGAGACAAGGCAGTTGCTATGCTACTTGTTGATTAAATGAAAAACAGACCTGATAACATGTGAAATCTTCTTAAGGGAGGTGTTTCTCTTATGGAGATGAGTTCAAAGCTGTTAAGACCTGAATTGAAAACTTATATGTCTAAGGTTAAATGCTTAAATGGTCACTTAAAGTTCCCAAAGTGATCAGTTGGCTATCTGTAGCTGGAGTGTCAGCTGGTGTAAATCATCGTTGACACTAGCTAAGAATTTGAGCAGTAGAAACTCTGAGGCCAAAATGTCTATTTTGTATTGCTGATAGTTAAAAATTCTAATTTTTCAATAAAGAAGTAATCAAATTTCAAAAAGATTTTTCTGATGTGTGACAGAAAATTCTAGTGGCACTCGGGAGAAGGTTCTCAGCTCTGCCAAAACCAAGATAGTATATTTAAGGCCATAAATAACATGTAGTTTCATACCTCTTAGTCACAGTTTGAGAATGAGTTTCTAGGGAAAGCTCCAAAATAGAATTTATGTTTCTAAAATAGAATATAGACCTCTAAATTAAAGACAGCAGTCTAATTTAAAGCTCTGAATCTGTTTAGATGTTGGAAGTCTCTTAAATATGTCCCTTAACAATATCTGAGGGAATTGAGTTCAGTATAAAATATAAAAGTCAAAATTACTTTCACTGTGAAACAGTGTTTCATGTGAAACATGACAAAAGAAGGTGATAGAACAGTTGATTCATTAAAGATGAATCTCTTTTGGTTTAAAGCCATTAATCCTTGTCCTGTCACCACACTCCCTGAAAAAAAAGTTCCTCCCCAACTTTCCTGTAGGCCCCCTTCAGGTACTGGAAGGCCACTATAAAGCCTCCCTGGAGCCTTCTCCAGGCTGAACAACCCCAACTCCCTCAGTTTGTCTTCACAGGAGAGGTGCTTCAGTCCTTTGATCATCTTCATGGCCCTCCTTTTGATATGCTCCAACAGGCCCCACCTTTCAAGCCTGTTGATGTCCCTTTTGATGGCATCTTTTCCCTCCAGCTTGTCAACTACATCACTCGGCTTGGTGTCATCTGTAAACTTGCTGAGGGTGCACTTGATCACACTGTCTGTGACACTATTGAAAATATTAAATAGTACAAATCCCAAAAGAGATCTTGGAGGAACACCACTCATCAGTGGTCTCTACCTGGTCATTGAGCTTTTGACCTTTGGATTTGGACCTTTGGACTATTTTTGGACTTTTGGACTAGTTTAACCTTTGGACTATTGATCTTTGGATGAACCATCTAGCTAATTCCTTTTGTGCCAAAAACTCCATCCATCAAATACATCTCTATAATTTAGAGACAAGTAGGTTTTGTTTTGCACCTTTATTTTACTTTTATTTTCATTTTTTATTTTTTTAGTATTATGTGGGGTCAGTTTTGTTGTTGTTATATTTTTGTTTCATTATTTTATTTATTTGTGTGATTTGTGTATTTTTCTTTGAACAACTTCCTTTTTTTTTTTTTTTTTTTTTTTAAAAGACATGCACATCCTTTAGCAGTTACAGACACAGAGAACAGTGATTTCAAGCACTTAAAAGGAAATTATGTGCAGGGATAATTTTTTGCCTCAGATTTTCAGTATTGCATTTGGCAATTTCATCTGATCTATGCTCTCAAAAAAGAAATCTCGTATTTCCAAAACAAACAGAAATTCCAGTTGCATAGTAACCAGCCCACATACTAAGCCCTAGAAATATCAGATCCAGCGTGCTCAGCACTTTGCCAAATAACTGAGGTGCCTTCAACAGATTTCTTTATATGATAAAAACTACAATAGAGATTTTAATGGCTACAGTACACAAAATGATCCTGTAGTCAAATTATTTGCTGTCATTGAAGTCAAAGGGTTTACACCATTGGAGAATAGGACTCTAGCTCTTCACAAGCAGCTTGTATTTGTGCAGCCTGCAGAGGAAAGTTTTCCTCCGTGAGAAAGGCGAATTTCCAGCAGGCAACATGCTCTGTCTGTCAAAAGGAAACTTTACTTTAAAGACATTGTGGACTTTAGATCCACAAAGAATCCATAAGAATAATGGTATGGGACGGGGAATGGGAGGGTGTGGGGAAAGGGACAGGAAGGCCCCTCAATATTTGCCACCTTTCTAATGTTACAGCAGAAGAAGACACAAAATTGCAAGTTTTTCCTGTTTTGAATTAATAATTTCAAAAATGATATCATTTTCAAAAATGATAATTTCAAAGGTTGTAGCTACTGTGACATGCATGATAATGTGGAACTACTGGAGATATATTCAAGGATGAATAGCTAGAAGTCCTGAAGATAGTGTAAATGCCTTGCTAAAGGTCATGACATAGATAACTATGATCAAAAATATCTTCACTGTTCCCTTGATCAATGAGAAAAGATCTTAAATAAATGTCCTCCTCACAGTTCAGTTCTTCGCTTTCACAAAGAACAAGTTAACATAGATTCTTATTGATAACGTGATTTATCCAAAATCATAGGCTTAAGCAAAAGTTAGCTGATGTCAAAGCACTAATTTAGATATTCTTGTTTTTCTGTTTAACAGTGAATGTACTTCAGAGTGGGCTTTTCTCCTAAATGTTACTTCCAATTAAAGTTTTTGATTTAATTAAATCCTTAATCTTTCATCCTTGAACAGTGGTAGGTAGGATGTTGGGGTAAAAAGAGTAGTGTCTATGGCAATGTAGATATTGTATGTTGAAATCTACACTGTTTGTTCAACAGACATAGCTAGAAATACTTGCCATAATACAAAATTGCATATAAGAAAAAGATCAACATTTTTGCTGAATTCACATTTGAATGGGAAGGGAACACCTGACTTTCACTGTTAAAATTTTGAGGTGGTTTTGATTCCAAAGTTGCTTCATTTTGAACAATGGAATCAAAGCACCACTTTTCAGCTGTTTTCTCAGCCTGAACACACCCACAGTAATGATAGGGTATATCTCTTCACAAGTGTATGGACTCCAGAAGAGAACTGATAATTTTTGGCAGCACTCACAATTCAGGAGACTGATAATGGTGAATCTTTGCATAAATCAACCTTGTTTCATTCATGTTGGTTTGCTCTTTACATCCTCCTGGCTGTGTGAGCAGTACTCAGTCCTCAGATTTCACAAAGTTTGGTCTGACCTGGCTGCTTGTTGCAATTCAGCCTATGTGGTGTTTCTCATTGCCTCTCCTTTTCTCATTCTTGTACTGAATACTTTAGTCACAGGATTTTTAGCTCTGTAGATGTAGCAGAATGCTTGCCCCATCAACATCTCTTTTTATATGTTCAGACCTCCAAATCTATCTTTTGATGTAAATCTGGATGGCACAAGGGTAATCCTCTTCTATTCCATGGTTGCCACTGAAAGAAATATCCTACCTTCCAGGACAGACTAACAGGCTTCTAATAGTCCAGTTTCAACTGGTAGGATTTCTTGACCTGAAAAATTAATGGATAAATCACAGAATTCTTGATCTAGATATTATACTCTTGGAGCAGATCTACTGTTGGAGTGAGTCTGGTATGCAAGTCTGGTATGCAAGATTTTCTGGACTAAAGCCAAAGAGCTTAGTAAAAACTTGACAAGACAGACTGCTCCATCTTCTAATTGGCTGACAACATCCAGCCCTTTGTGCCCAGTTATTCATACTGGGACCAGTAAAACTGGAAAAGATCTGTATCTTCTACAATATACATAAGTGATTAATTCTGCCAAAAGTGGATGAATGAATTGGACTTTATGCAAACAAAACACTGTTTTCAAGTGGCTTGTGGGCTGCAGAACCTCTGGATCAAACCATTCGTCTATCTCACTGAGCAGCTTGGTCTTCATGAACAACCTCCGTGAAGTTCTGTGTTGCTTTCTCAAGATGGTATCAGACCTGAGGTCCAGAAGGTCTTCTGCACTGTCTCTGTTGTAAGTCTTTTCACCTTAGAGACAAAAGGCATATGTAATATTAGACAAGAATATGCTGTTCTGCAAAAATTTCTACACTTAGCAGCTGTGAATGACCAACACATTGTAAAGGATAACTGCACTTGACTACAAGTTTTTGTTTGTTTGTTTTGTTTTGTTTTTAGGTCCATACATTTGATTATTTCATTTCAGAATTATCTCTGAATTGAACCTCACTTAAAACCAGCAGCCTATAAGATCTATTAGATAATATGCAGTTAAACACTGCAACCAGATGGCCAGATCTGTAGAAAACCTCCTGCAAGGCACACACATCAAAACCAATGTCCATGTGATGTTCCTGTTGACAAAGGATTTTGGAGAATGCATTAGGAGAGAAGCATGTGTGCACAGGGCACTGAAGTGGGAAAAACAACACTGAGGAAAGAAACACTAGTGACTCTCCAAACAAGTGGTGAGAGCATGACCCTCAAAACAAACAAACAAACAGAGCTCATCAGGAATGACTTTTTTGGGGGGTAAAGTGCTAGCTGAAAGAGGCATGAAACTGTTCTAAGAGGAAGCAGGGTATTGTTTGCTTCTTTCTAAGTTCAGTTGAATAGGGCTTTGTACAGTCTTTGTAAGTCAAAAAAAAAAAAAGTTGATTAAACACCTGATTTTAGCACTCATATCTCCTCCAAACTGAAACAATCTTAATTGCTTATTTGTTTTGCTAGCCAGGAAGGCCAACACAGCACAGTAGAAAGTTCTTTACGGAACTGAATTGAGGAAGGACACAAAATCCTTGAGCAGACCATGGACATCAAAACAGAGAAGGATATATCTGATTACCCCTATGAGACATTCTGGCACTAAGGAACAGAGCAATGAACAAGAAACAAGAATGACACTGAGGCAGTGGGAGGCAGTGGCAGAAAATGCCTGCAGCTGTATCAAATTATGTGGAAGGGAGATTGTGGTAGTCTAGAAAAGAAATTATGCCCAATATATAATATTTCCAGGTATCAGGAGTGGTGAGAGAGATTAATTTTCTAAGTATTGTAGAGAAAGAAGCAGCAGCACATTAGGGTGGGAAAAGGAATGACAGAAATGAAAGGTCACATGTAGGTGGTAAGCCTGAAGAGAAAATGTTTCAATCTCCAAACTTCCAACCCTGATTATGCAGCTGTCAGTCCTGCCCCTTTAATTAAGTAATTGATTAATTAAAATAAAGAACTTAATCTCTCCATTTACATATTATGCCTCCCACTAACCAGCACTGACTGTGGGGCCCTCATCAGAAAGCTCCTTCCTATTTGAATTTGTGTTGGTTCCCAAACATATTACTTTGTAAATAGGAAATGACAACATTGGCTCAGTGCCCCAGTATCGACGCAACATTGCCATATGTCAGTATCATGCTAAACATAGTAAGCAGAAGACCCAACAATATAATTATTGAGGACATCTGTCAGCAGCACAAGCTACATCTGGGATTAGTAGCTGTAATACTGGAAAGACCTATAAGAAGCAGAGAGGAAAGTCCTTTTGTGTTGGCTTGGATTTTCAAGAATAGGAGCCAGATCCTCAGATGGTGTAAATTTAAGCCATTCAAAGAAGCTAATGAATCCAGCATCAGCTGATACTAGCTAAGAATCTGACACTAAAATTAAGGCCAACATAATTAAGTACAAGATTTAATATTTTCTATGTAAATCTGATTTTACAACACAGAAAATTATTTATTAGTGGAGTCAGCATGTATATGCTGTCTTTTATCTCAGATCTGAAAGCTGGACAACTTTGGAAAGCTTCTGAAGATCAATAAAAATTCTCTTTAATATTCTTTGTATTTCAAGCATATAGCAGTATAATATTATATTTCAAATAAATTCTCATAGGTTAATATATACATATTTTTTTTTTGAGCATATTTAACACTTGTTATAGATTTTTCATCCAGAGCAGAGTAGTCAGTGCACAGACTGATGTGCATACAGATCATACCTATTGTGCATACATCACATACAAGTGATGTATACAGATCATACCTATTCGTTAATCTGAGGGCAAGCTCCTGTGGGGAAGACAAGTAGCTGTATTAGAGAAATGTTGCATTTGAGCTAATGTCCCTTGCAGAAATCTTATAGGCATGTGTGTGCCATGCTGTGCTCATGCTTACATACCATAGCTCTCAGCAAGACTATTCCAAGCACAAGGTTGTTCTAACACTGATTATATGGCATCTGAGCTGGAGGTTGCCCCATTTAAATACATGGCAGAAAGGCTTCACATTGTATGTCTGTAAAGAAATCTTAAGGGCTTCCAGTCAGTTCAAAGCTCTGTAGTTTAAGTTCCAAGTCTAAAATGAGGTTTTACATCACTGTCTTCCACAGAGCAGCCAAAGGGATTGCACCTAAGAAACAATGACAAGAAGATTTTGAGCAATAAAGAGAAAAGTTGTTTTCCAAAGAAAGAGCCTTGTAATGTTCTTGATGAGAAATAAAGGAGAAGAAAGGATAATCTCCCCTGAAAAAAGCTTTTCCTACATGTCACGAGGAGCTTTTCACTCATTTATACTGCAGATTAATGAACAAGGGCATCTTTGCCCCTCAGTAACATTTGCAGTCATGAGAAAATGAGCTTGCATATTGATCTCTCTCCTTACTGTTTTGTTTATTTTGTTTTGTTGTTTGTTTTTTTTGTTTGTTTGTTTGTAAGATTTCTCTGTGCCCCTAAATCAGCAAGCTATATTTAATGAAAGATGACAATAAGTAAACTAAATAATTGACAGAATGTAGTGTTGGTTTTTGTTTGTTTTGTTTTTCTCTAAAACTGGGAAAATGTTCTTCTTAATGTCAACAAACAGAAAGTTTCAGTGCATCTGAGAGAGGTATGCTTCTTAATGTGCTTCATTCATCAAGAGATTCACTGAGACACTTGGGCATATGGTTGTTTTTATGTGTGCCTACCTGTGAACTAAGTGCTAAACTCTTATTGTAGTCAGTGAAGATACAGTCCATAAAGTCTGTGGGTCAGTAGAGGGATTCAGCTGACTGAAGGGTCTACTTTAACCTTGAATTGCCTTCCTGGGGTGTTTATTGTTCTCACCTGACTGTAGTGGAAACACATCAAGTCTAACATCCCAACCGAAGGTCACTATACATTCCTGCTTCTACTCTCCAACTTTCCCTCTGCAGGCTGGCAAGCAAGATAGGCAATTACCTAAGGTTAACACTTTTTGTAATTATTACAAGAAATGAAAGAATGAATTCAACAGAAAAATGATCTGATGCAAACATTCAACTGTACCCAAACAATAAAAATATTTTCCTGTAATAAAATGTAAGAGCGTTTTCTTTCCAGGATTTAGTTGTATCTTTTCCAGATAGGACAGGAGGGAAAAGAGGCATGAACACTGAAATGAAGAGTCAGGAAAACTGAATGCACACTGGCTGTGTTTTGCTAACGTCAGTGTTCTTCAGTGAGCTGAACACTGCTTGAACCTTGTGTCGGTGTGATAGATGAGAGCATTTATTCACCAACTGCATGTAGTTGTCTGTCAAAGGTTTTCTCTGAATGAATCTTAGGATTTTTTCCTCAGAATAATTGAAGATTATTATCATTATTACTACTATTACTACTATTATTTGTATTAAAATTCAAGACAATATGAACGGCTAAAGCCACTAGACTGATCCTGAACACAAATTCATCTGCATTAGCAAAACTCTCAGCTTCATTGACATTGCTTACATCTGGAAAATTTCTGTCTTGAATAGTAGTTTGTAGGAACTTTTTCCAAGTGGGGCTGAAGTGAAACTCAGATACACACCCTTAGCTTGGGGGTAGATTTCACTATTACTGTTAAGGGAAAACACCCAGTTCAAACATTCTCTTTCTTTCTAAAAATAAAAGACATTTTAAGAAACACAGACATACAGAATGAATAGCTTATTCTTGGCTGGTTACAGCTCTGTAGTACATTTTCATGGTAGAGTTGAAAATAGTGCTTGGATGAAAAGGAGTCAATAGTGGAAACCAAGCAGGAGCTTTAGCACTACCAGCAGTGCCAGTGAGTGCTCTGCCCAGAGAGCTCATAAGAACAACTGTCATGGGGAGAACTATGCACCTATTGGACTTGTTCACCAGAAAGATTAGATGCAAAATATATAGCCTCAATTTCATCAGTTTAACTGTGAATGATCTGTGAATTTTAGGGATAATGTGTATTTACCATGCATCTCTATAGGACCATTACAGCTTGTTTTTATTTGCAACATTATAGATGTTATAAGCATTCACTTAGGTGTAGCATATTTAATTTTTAATGGGCTAATGCTTGTTCTTTCAGGAGAGTTTCTCTATACAAAGCAATTACTTTACTAACAGTGCTTGTTTAGCTCACCTAACCAGAGCAGTCATGTAATCTTAAATCTTTTCATATCTTGCCAGCATTTTTATTAATGGAACGGGGTTGTTCATGTCTTAAATATCTTTTGCAAATGTTTCCAGGCAGAGTAAGAATGTGAATAACCTAGTGTTCAGCAATGACTTTTGAAGAGATACTTATTATCCTGTCTGATTTTTGATAAGGGAAATACAGTAGTCACCACATAGACCAGGTTTATGTCAGTGCATTTGATTTTTGTCTAAGGTAACAAGATAATATTTGTGTTCTTGCAGGGAGGATTTGAAGTAGAAGTAGCAGATGTAGTCAGGAGTTCTCTTTGTTCACATTTCCAAAGAACTCCCCAAAGCTTTTATTATTATTATAATCAGCAGCAGCAGCAGCATCAGCATCATTTTCTTTAGGATCATGCTGCAAAGCCTGGCTGAAATTTTGAATTCCATCTTACTTTCTTAATGTCCTTCTGTGATGTGTTGTTGTTTGGATTTTTTCCACACTTCCCCTTCATGAGGGTATGTGTACCCACAGACATTCACACAACTGTATCAAACAACAGAGTACTTTGATTTAAATATTTGTTAAACCCCAAAATGCACATCCTAATTCATGATTAGAGTCTTACATGCAACATCTGCTTTTCAGCTACTAGTTTCACAAAGGCATTTAATGAATCCTCATGGCAACTCATTCTTTACTGAATTAAGTCAGTTTCACACAACCCTCAGGATAATGAAATTTACTAAAAATAAATGAATAAATAACATAATTATTCTATTTCTGTATTTGCAAAAACTGGGAATGACTCTCATTTTGGTCAAGCCCAAAACCATAATAATTCTCCTATAACATCAAAGGAACTGTCTTTATGTCAAACTGCTGTAAGCTAATAAAGAATTTGGGCAGGCCATTTTATACTGCATGAGAAATATATTATTTGTGATTAAGCTTCACAACCCCTTTTCTACCATACATTCAGTAATCACTCACCCCCGCCTCAGCTAAGTCCCTGCCAGGATGCAGTAGAACATGACTAACATACATTATATATTTGTTTATTCCTCTCCTTCCTTGGCAATAATAATGTGCAGTGACCAGTGGAGTATTTAGAATATACCCAATATACTTACACTGGTCAAGGTTAGGTCAAAGATCCGCAGATTGCTTTTGCAGCAGGAGGTGGTGAGGTTTGTTGTAAGTCTTTGTTCCCGTGGGAATTTATTTGCCACTTTGGGTCAACTTTGAGGGAACTCTGTCTCTTTCACTGACACACTTGCAGATGCTTTACCAAAGCAGCTGTTCTGGCTAGGAATATTTTAATATGACCATTTTATATGCTTTCCTCTCAGGATACTAGCAGTGGGCTTGTGTTGCCTTTACCTTTCCCCCATTCATAGAAAACAAAGTCTTACTTTTTTTTGCTCTATCCACCTTTAAACTGAAACTAAATCCTTCAAGCTGTATCAGTGGAAATGTTTTTATTTAACATTGCACTGTATTAAAAGTGGCTCCTATAAAGTATTGCTGTTTTTTATCTCATTAATAGAGAAGATGTTCTCAGAAGGCACCACTTGGAGTTTTACAATTGCTGTAAAGTAACCATCCAAAGGCATTAAAAGATGAAGAACATAAAAATATTTCACAGTGGGAAATCAGGAAAAAGGGAAGCGAACAATGCAGAAAAAATGAAGTATACAGGGAAAATCCAGCCTAATGGAAGAAACACATTGAAAAAAAAAAA